CATCAAGGGAGGCTGTGGGACAAGGAAGCACAAGCTGGTTCTCAGGCGGCAGAGCACGAGCTGCTTGCCCGATGCCAGGTGTCCCCTTTTCCCTGAGTCACTTCAGTCCCCAGCTGTCAGCAGGGGCCTGGACTCCAGCCTCTTGGTAGAGGCATCTTCTAGCTTCTCCAAATCTCTGGATCTTGAGGGGTCCCCCCCCTCAACTCCTCCTGCTGTCACCAGGACAGACTCCCAGAGCTCCCAGTCTGAGCCTTCAAGCAGCAATAAGGGCTACAGCCACCTGGAGGAGGCAGGCACCTCCTTGGAGTCAGTTGCCAACACCCCAGCCACTAAAATCCAGGACTGTGAGGAGGAGCCAGTCGGAAATTTGGACCCCCTCAAGGCCACCAGCAGAGAACAAACAGGGGTGCAATCTCAGCAAACACAAAGACAGTACACAAATAAAGAGAAACTCTTTATGATTTCTAGGTCGCACACTGCATTAGGGCTGGAGGATGGGGAACTGGAGAGTACCGACATCTAGACAGAACAGAGAAGGCAAGGGGACATCTTGCAACCCTCCACAGCTTCCCCCCTTCTCCACCTCATTGTGGACTTAGGAAACCGATCAATATCCAAAGAGCTGCAATATGTTACCCTTGAAAATTGAATTCTATAAATCCTGTAAATGACTTCAGGAAGAAAAAGAAAATCCTTTCTGTCCGATCGTGATTGTATGTTCCATGCAAGCCAAATTGTATTAAATATCCACAGTCGAGCAAGTTCTTTGGATCAGATTAATACAATTTCGGACAGTGTATCTGTGCACTTTACTGTTTTTATTTCCAAGTGCCCCTTCTTCTCCTCTGATTTCTTTCTTGCTGATTTGCCACTAACTGCTTGAAAACTGCAAGCACCTTTTTAAGCTCAAGAGCAACGTGGTCTTCAGATCAAGAAAGCTGAGCTCTCTCTTTGTTTTGGTTCAATTACTAAAAAGTTAGCAAGGCCTTAAGGATGACGTACCTTGACAAAGAATGAGTTTTTTTAAATTCTGGGAAAAAAATACAGTTTAGAAGAGACAGGAGCAGAACAGAGCTCTGATGATTTGATTAAAACCATTACATTCCTGAATCCAAAATACCTACTACTACATGATACTTTAATAAGTATTATTAAACATGTATTGACTAATAGCATTAGAAGATTTTTTTTAAAAATAAAACATTTACAAACAAAACTACCACACAAAAAAAGTTTTTTATTTTGGTAAGTAATTACAGATACCAGAAACCTTTTGTTTTTAAACTCTGAAAGATTACAGGGATGCTATGAGGCCAAAGGTTTGTTTATGCTTGTAAGTGGGTAATTAATCATTTAGGAGTAATTTTAAATACTTATTCAGTCTCTGAGAAACCACACTTTCATTCAGTCGGCAGATTCTGTCTCCATTTCTAACAGTTCTCTGTGACAGCTGAAGAAACGTGAGATTTTGACATGCTAAGCTAAAAATAATGTTTAAAGGTTTGACCTATTAAAATTAGATTTTTTTGTGAGTAACATAGTAATCTTGAACTGCAGCATATTCTTTCTGGATTTTTTGCTTCTCTTATACCAATTGCATTAAGCCTATCTGCTGTTATGATTCCTATTTGTGAATGCATGTGCATAAGCTTAATTTTAAAGCATAATGATAGCCCTGTCAGCCTCGTAGCAGTTAGCCCCATTGAAATCAGCAGAGGTTTCTTACTTGACTTCGGCATGGTGAAGGTTTCTCCCCATGTGAGAAAAGCATCAGGTTTCCTGAAAGCTGGAAAACGCCTTGTCTGTAGGCAGATTTTTGGTAAATTGATGAGCTGTTTCATTTTCGTTGCTGCAGCACAGCAGGCACTCTTTTATTTTGCCAGAACAGCTTTATGTGCTCAGAAGATTTTGTCAATACTTCAGATTTTAAATATGGATGTGGCATTTCACTACTACAGGAACAGAAATCGACATTAAACAAATACAATGTGTAGGCAGGCAAGAGTTTTTCTGTTGCAATTAAAATTTTTGTTACAGTTTCATGTTTTAAAATGCTTAGTTGCATACTTTACTTAAAATTTATTGGAAAATGGAATATAACTATCACTAAATGCAATTGCTTTTAGTAATCCAGCAAAATCCTGTGTTAAATAAGACTAATTTAAAAGAAAAGGAGAAAAAAAACCCCACAATTTGCCATGTCAGAGTCTAGAAACTGGAGAAGCAGAAAGTGCTTGTTCTCTCAAGCAAAGGAGATGTCCAGGTGGCAATACCTCCTCCTGTCAGTGGCGAGCAGTGCATTGAAGATATGAACATCGGTGTGGCATTTTTTGCTATCAAACCCCTAGCACACAGCTGGAAAAAAATGTGTCATAAAACTGCCTGGACTGGCATGGCTTGACAGCTTGGCTCGAGCTGGCATTTGCATGGGTCTTTGCTTTTAGTTCCCCATGGGTGATGGCCCTGTGCTTCTGCTCCTTCTTGTGTGATTTCCAGCACAATTTGTGAAACGTATCTGAACAGCATTACCTGGTGCTGACAGAGATGCTAGATATTGGCACATGCAAAGTCACCCTGTTTGTTACTGTGCACGTGAAAACCCTTTATGGAGGTGCAAGGGAAGAGGCAAGCTATGGCTGCTGCTCACTGGGGTGTGGAGCCCTTGTGAAGATGTGGCAGGAGTTTGTTTTATTTTGAGAGAAGGAAACAAATGGGTTTTTTTTAATATTTTTAGTAAATATTTCTTTAGTGATCTGAATCTACAGTATGCTCTAAAAAAAGCACAGCTTTAAAAAAGCCTTGGAGTACTCCTTAGATTGGTTTAAAACAAAGCAGCCCAGCAATTCTTCTGATGATTAATTTACAGCAAAGCTTTCTGGAAAACAAAATTACAATGGAGTTCGAATTTAATAAGTAAAAATATAGCTTGTTCCTGTGTCGCCAAAAAAGGTGTGGAACATGAATTTCCATCAGACAAGCTAGATTTTTTTATAACAGCAGCTAGAAGTGATTTATAACATATAGATTAATAAGCAGAGAAAGCTGCCTCTCTCTGTTTGCAATTTATCCAAAAATCTCTCATTATTTTTGCAGATTTATTCATTAAAACTATTTGTTGAGCAACTTATGTGGTGGAGGAGTTGGAGCTACAAATTTTTGTTTAAAATTCAAGGTGGGCAACGCAGTTGAGCACACCTATGTAGGAAAACAGCTGAGAAATTCAATCCCTGTGTGCCAGCTGTGACTCCCATTAGTACCATTAGCTTCGGAGAGAAAGGCAGAGGCTGGTGAGGGACTGAGCCTTTCCTGGTGATACCAGTAGGCGATGGGAGTGCCGAAGTTTGTGTCGACCTCTTCTTGAGTCTTTCCCAGCTGGCCCTGACCACTTCTCAGGACTGCCATGTTGCTTCTTGACCAGCACTTGCCCATCTCGTCACATGCTTATGCCTTTGTTTCCCATATAGCCTCTTCTTTTTACCTTCCGTATCCAGTGTCCTGCTACCAAGTGCTTCCTTCACTGTCCTTGTCAAGAGCTGGGAAGCTGCCCCTACTCACCACTACCCACCTGCCTGCATGCTGCAGAAAGATGTGATGGCACGTGAAATGTTTATTGGGAAGGAATCATTAGTCCCGCTATTTAAAAAGCGATATCCCTGAAGATAATGTTAAGCTAGAATGCCAAGGCATAAATTTTTGGCAGGGAAAAATCACATTTTGATGCAGAAATGTATATTTTGTTTTATTTTGGATTGTGGAATTTTTTCCATAGAAAAAGTTCTATGATATTTATATAAAATTTCCAGAGGAAAATTTAATTTCTGCTTGAACCTGCAGAATACTGCCATCACTAGGTAGAAGGCATTGTCTGCTTTTTACAAGTATAGATGCTTCTTGGACCAGCCTGAGGACATAGGCAAATGCCCTAATTGTACTTCAGTCGTGCTGCTGTTCATTACAAAGTCTTCAGGACTCTGGAGAAGCTGCTGGTATGATCATCCTGTAACACAGTTCTGGCTCAGCTTTCACTGCCTAGCAAAGTATCTAAAATCCTTACATTAACCTGGCTCACTTGGCTGAACTGATTTACCAAACTCCCCAACTGTTGACGTATCAGCTGATTTACTGCAAAGCACTATAGCCCAGATATATTACCCTGTATCACTTAGATAAATTTTTGACAGCCTTTTCAAGGACTGATGCTGTCCAATAGTGAGCAACAGCGCACGTACAAACATCACATTAGGTAACTGTTAACATAGTTCTAAGTCTGCAGACTGAGAGAGTATGGTATTTATGATATTCCAGAACAGGCATAAATGGTTTACACAGAAGTAGCAACATGACTTCAATTAAACAATAATTTTTATTAAATCAACAGAGATGGCACAATGATACGGCTTACTGAATTTCAGTGGAAGGAATCACCTTTGATAACACTTACCAGCTTTTCTTTCTAAACAGAATCACTTTTATAGTAAGAAATGAGAATTACTAACAATTTAAGTAGATCACCAATAGATGCTTTGCCTCATTAACATATTTCAGTCCCTCAAATTTCTCCCTGCATGTAAAAAGATGGAAATAGAGGGGGAGAAAGAAAAGAAAGCAATAACCAACATCTGGCCATAACCTAGCCAGAAATAAGACCTTGTCCCACAAAATGCACCCAAAATACGAGTGCTCAGCAGTAGCTGATGATGAAAATCTTAATAATCAATGGAAGTATAGATTTTTTTGCCTTTTTTTTTTCTTCTAGAGCAGATATATCAAAATTTCCTCAGAAAAAAACACTTAACTCTGTCACCTCTCCAAAACTGTCAATAGCAATAATGCAATACTTTATCCAGGTTGCTTAATTACTATTTTTCAGTTTGGGTCCACATACAGCGAACAAGCTGCACGGCATGTGCAGGCATAGCCTGAGAGGATAAATAGGCTCTCAGAGCCACAGCAAAATAATCTTCCGTGGAAGAGCGAAAAAAAAAGAGCGTACTGTTACCAGTTTTATTTCTGAGGCCAAGCTTTTGATTTACCACTTCTAAAAATCTCCAAAGCAGCAATATCTAAGCGAGTGCACTAGAAAATATCCTCTACCATTTAGGTTTTGCTGTAAGCGTGGAGCAAGAGGGAGAGCCTGGAGGAGTCACCTCACCAGGTGCAGGCGTAGCCAAGTGAAATGACTTTGGAGTTGGGATGGGGAAACTAGGCTGCAAGAAGGGATCTGACTAGATCACATGATAAAATTCAGGAACCAGAGGAGCATGGCCCATGTTTTTACCCTGGTTACTCTTTTATCTACATTTTAATTACATGGAGATGGTGGAACCACAGTTCAGACTGAAGTTTTACTCCCCACTGTTACTCTTTTTAAATTACTTTGCAATGATATAGCAAGCCTGTTTGGTGAAAGTATCAGAAGAGATGCAAACTAAACAAGTGTCAAAATCCCTATTAAAAATCCAGTCTCTGAGGTTTCCTGTGCCCTCCTCTGCACAAAAGAGATTCAGTTTAAGATTCCGAGTATAACTTTTTTTTCCTCTCCCATTTCTCCCCACGACGAGTTTAGTTCTGGTAAGGACATATAACTCATTCTCAGACCAGAAGGTTGAAATGGGAAGAGACTGTTTGACTTTAGAGAAACAGCCTGTTCCATGCTAAGCTTCATGGCTAAAGTACAAGAATGGCAAGTAAAAAGTCAATGTTCAGCAATCAAATGATTAATATATTATTTTCATAAAGGTTTAAATGAACTTCAACTTTGAAGAAAACATAACCCATAAGATGAGGTTATAGTTGTTGCCAAACAATTGGAAGAACCATCACAATATTTACTGAAATATACATATTGATATTGAATTATGGTTTGTTTGTTGCTTTGTTTTATTGTTTTCTGTGACCTGCAAAAGATGAGATGCTGCAATACCCACTGTCGCGTAAGATAAAATGATGCGATACGATTGCATAACCTAGGAGCCCTCTTTGCTCATTGTCACTTGTACGATTTGGCATGCTGCTGACACATCCTCCCCGACCTGCCTGGGAGCAGGCTGAGGCCACGCCAGCTCCCCTTTTGTTGCCATAAACTAAGTCAGCCATTTGTAAAGGAGCGGGACTTCCTAACACAACTGTTGGTTCTGGTAAGAATTGGAGCCGGTAATGTTTTTGCGAATGGAGGTGGCTCGATACAGACTGCAACACAGCTCCCATCACACCTTGGAAGCCTGTG